CCGCGCAAGGTAGTGGTGAACTATGGTTGAGGCCAATCAATGATAGCCTGAACCGCGTTTGTGTCTGCTGCCACGCCTGTTTCAAACACCACATGGCCAAGATATGCTACTTGGGTCTCTCTAAAAGAACATTTGGATCTCTTGACATAAAGGTTATGAGCATGCAATAACTTAAAAACGATGCCAATATGAGTGAGATGATCATCTCATGTCTTGCTATATATTAAAATGTCATCAAAGAAAACCAACACTAATTGATGCAAGTGTGGTTTAAATACCTCATTCATTAGTGCTTGAAATTTTGATGGAGCATTTGACTATCCAAACGGCATAACCAAAAATTTAAAGTGGCCATGATGCGTGCAAAAAGCTATCTTCTCAATGTCTAGGGGATCCATGCGAACCTGATGATAACTCGACTTCAAATCTAGCTTCGTGAAGTATCTGGACCCGTACAATTCGTCTAATAATTCATCCACCACTGGAATTGGAAATTTATCCTTCACTATCTTGGCATTGAGCTCACGATAATCAACACAAAAATGCTAAGTTCCATCATGCTTATGAACCAATAAAACTAGAGATGAGAAGGGTGATCTACTAGGCCGAATGATTCATTGTCTTAACATATCTGCACATTGTTTTTCTATCTTATCTTTTTGCAAATGAGGATACCGGTATGGTCGAACTACTACTGGTTTGGAACCAGGTAATAAGCAAATGCAATGATCACAATTTTGCATAGGAGGCAGCCCAGTAGGCTCTTGAAATAAGTCAGCAAATTCGGCCAAGACCTGCTCCAGTTTGCTGTGGTGCTCATCTAAATCATGCAATAATTGAAGCTGCAATTTCGAACAGGTTTGCTGCCCTTGAAAGACGACTTTCGTCCCTGCTCAACGGGTGGGTCTTGCAGTCAAGCTCCCTTCTACCTTTGCACTCGAGGGCCAATCTCCTTTCCTATTTGAAGTAAAACTCATTTCAAGTGTAACGAAGTCCCAAAGAATGGGGCCTAATGTTTGTAACCAAATCACCCCTAGAACAATGTCAAAACCATCTAACAGAATAACAAAGAAGTCAGCTTCAAAGTTTTGGTTATCAATATAGAAGGATGATGGGCAAGTTCCTTTGCTGTAAACTTTTTCTCTATTAGCCATTGATACCTTAGCACTTGTCCTAGGTTGTACTTGCATCCCAAGTGTTGCGCTGCTGTGTAACTTATGAAATTGTGTATGTTGCCCGAGTCAACCAGGCTCAACAATGGTTGACCTTTCATGATTTCTAGTAACTGCATTGTTATTGCGCTCTTCTGTCCCGTGATGGCATATAAGGAAATTTCAGGTTCTTGTGCATCTTTATGGTCAGGTTCTTCATCATCCAGATCAGCAAGTTCCAACCAAAATAACTTCTTACATTGATGCCCAATCGAATACAATTCATCACAATTATAACACAATCCTTTTGCTCTTCTCTCTGCCATTTCAGCCCGTGACAACTTTTTTTATGAAAGGAGCAGATGAACTTATCAACTTTGGTTCAGTAATACCACCTGGTGCATTGCTTCTCTTTGGAGTTGGAATTGTTGAACTTGTGGTAGTACTGGAATAGCCTTTAGTCCCTTGCCAAGTCTCCCTTCGAGAAGATGTCGCCCGCACTACCTTCTGTTTCTTTTCAAAAGCTCGAGATATATTCATGGCATGAACAAAATCTGCTGGACTACGCATTTCAACATCAAGCCGAATGGAATCGATCAGCCTGGCAGTGAAAAGACTAACTTGCTGGTCAACGCGAACACACTTACTGGCCTTGGCTAACCGTTCTTGAAATTGGCGCTGATATTCTTCAATTGAGCATGTTTGCTTAAGGTTAACCAGATCACCTAGTGGATTGCTCCCCATTGGAGGGCCAAACCTGAGATCACAATGTTCTTTGAATTCCGACCAATCAATAGAGGGATACTCTTGTTCCACATGATGACACCATAATTGTGCCTCACCTAGAAGATGGAATGCTGCCAATCCCACCTTATCTACTTCATTTGTTCTCTGATTGGAGAAGAATTTCTCACAACGGTGCAACCAAATCAATGGGTCTTCATATCCGTCAAAAGTAGGAAAATCTAGCTTTGTGTACCTTCGTACTACACTATTTCCTACCAGCGTATTAGGCTGATTCTCTGGTCTGTAGGGTTGGTTACCTACATTGCTGCTTGCTCCAGCATCAGAATCCTTTCCTTGATTTTTGTTAAACCCAACAATGAACTCCTACAATTGTAACGATAATTGTTGAAGTTGATTAACCATCCTTGATTCAGATTGTGCCACTACTTTTGTTATTCGTGCTTCGTTGGCAGCCTGCGCCTCTTGAAGGAGAGCCTGTAACTCTTCCCATTTGCTTGGATCGCCCATAGTGTTTGGCTCTGCTACCAAGTTGTTATGGTCACGTAGAATGAATCTTGTCACACGGCGATTCACTGAAAAGTCTGTGTTGAACAGATCCTTTCCCTTGTTTCTATTCCGTGAGCGACCTATTTTGATAACAAAAAATAACCTCGTTAAAGGGAGCCTATAACCTTAGGACTCGATAGAGAGAGTCCCAGATCTCTTATTTTTAATATAAATCTTGCCTGCCCTTTTTTATTCCTTCTGTCTCTTTAAATAGAGAGCCTTATTACAAAGCTATTAAGCATAACTAGGAGTCTACGGATATAAGAAATCTATTAAATTAAGAATTCTAGTAAAATTAAACTACTGACTATTTAAATGCCCAACAAATATCTATCACGTGCATCTGTATTCCTATCTTCTTATCCTCTTTGACGTTGCTATTTTCCTCAATTCGAGGGCCCGCCTTACATAAACTTTACTTATGAATGAGTCTGTGGCATTCTGGTTATTAGAAGAATAAGTTAATTTTGTAGAAATTTCGTTAGCATTGAACAACAGTATCACCTTGTTTGTCAGATTGTAAAACAATTATCATAACAACCAACGTGGTGCAGTGCTATTTCATAGATGATTAATGGGATAACAGTACATATTGGAAGCTCATAGAAGTACTGGTTGGTCTTACCAATGTTACATATACCATACAAAAATGGTCAATGATCTACGGACAAAGTCACACATCCCCAAGAACTACTCAGTAAATTATTTTGATGACAAAGTTTGCATATAAGCTCTAAGATTTTAAACTCATAAAGTTATATTGTAAAATGAGATGCAATGTAGCTGAAGAGGATTTCAATGAAGATACATAGATACCAAATTGCTATAAACCCGTAATTGACTGAAAGAAATTTTTTTGAACGTATAGGCCGCTATGTATTTCCCTTTTTTTGGGTAAGAAGGGAAACACGGTGGTACGACAGAGCATTGCATATGTTAGATCATCTAGTTTTATAGCACATGTTTAGTTTGCATGAAGTAAAGATCGAAGCATAAAATTCGGTTACATAAATTTTTTCTCCATACCAGTTCAGAAGTCCCCCAACCTGAGGATATGGTGGATTTATCAGTATGACCGAAAAAAAGTGTAAGTGTGGATTTATCAGTATGACCGAAAAAAAATGTAAGTTTTTCCATACCAGCATAGTTGGTTTGGGTAATTCGTTTTGCTATATTATTGGATATTCAGCAACCTGTGCAGCTAGAATTCTTTCATCAGCATCGGCGAAGTCTTCCCACAGTGTAAAGATGGTAGGGCTCACACTACAATAGAAGGAATGGACTAAGTGACACTATCCCAAAAAAAAAAATGCAATTGTAATAATGTCACCAAGAATAATAAAGAAGAGGATGTAAATTTAAAAATTAGAGAGACGATTCGGTAAGACCGTTATTCAAACAATGCGAAAAGAATTAAGTGAAACGTTAGGGCAGCAGAGTGAAGGTTGGCAGAAAGGTTTTATAAATGACACATCCTGGATGCCTAAGTAAACAAATGCAGCATGACTTTTCCAATTTGGAACTAATGACTACTCGAGTATGTAGTTGTCACTGTATTTTTTAAAATTTCACTCGTTAATTTTGAGTAATTGGTTGTACTTATGATATTTTTTAGCTCTTTTCATGTTCTTCTGTTGATTTTATTTCAACTTTAGCTTATTGGGTATTAAGTGTTTTATGTAGATTGTTTTGGTTTTAAACACTAGGTATTTTTCTGAGTTTCAAGAAACAATTTTTAGCTTTGATTTTTGTGTTTAGATTATTGGGTGTTGTGTATTAATTATAAACATTTTGTTTTCTTTGTGCTTCAAGAAACAATTTTTAGCTTTGATTTTTGTGTTTAAATTATTTAGTATTAAGTATTTTTTGTAAAGTGTTATGGTCGCATTTTATAGCTTGAACAAACAATTTTTAGCTTTGATTTTAGCTCGGTCTGCTTATTTTCTTGTCCTTGTTGTACTAATTTCTTTGTCTTAAAATTGGTCACCAAAATAAAAAATATTAATAATCTTAAAGTTGGTCACATTTGTTAATTACTCGAATTTTGCTAATATTTATGCTGTTTGTCACGATTCTGGCTATTGGAATGCAGTTGCATCATCTTTTTCTGTATCTGGGTTATGTAGTAAACAACCTTCCCCTCGCATTTCTTAAAAGGTTGTCTCAACATTCGTTAAGATTGAAGCAACACCTGTGAATTTGGGTATTCAAAGCATAAAGCATGGGCTCTTGATATTTGGATATTTACAATGGATTTGATTTTACTGCGTTGATCCTCTTGGTAAACCAAATCATCTATTCCTCTTATAACCAAGTTAGTGTGTCTAATAATATTGAGCTAAGAAAATCTTTCTCTGTGAAATTTAGTTTTATGATTTTTTAGAACGACATCGTGATACAGTATGTGGCTACATATTTGTGGCCAATTCTTTTTGGAAGCTGTAGCGAAAGTAGTAAGGTAAATAGAACGCCAGCAGACTTACCTGGTATCCATTACGAAGATTTCACGGTATCTGTTACTGTTAGCGCCGGCATACTTTACCGAGCCACATTTCACCACAACGGCAATTATGTCTATTTAATAGAAATTGCAAGTGGCTTATAATTTAGACCAATGTGCACCGTCCCAGAATGTAAGGATACAAATAAATTTAATTGTGAAAGGGTACTATTCGTAAAATAATGGTTACCAATTTCTGTATTTAGCTGTTGGTCGTGCAGATATGCAAAGGGTACAGTATTCAACCTCGTCGGAGGCGGTAGCGGTGGGTCTTGTGAGTTGTCATCTTTCACCTCTTCGACAACAGTAAATCTGTCGATAACCCATTCAAAACGGTTGATAGGTACTCCATATGGTACAGGAACCCTCACTTTTGCAGTAGGTATCAAGTGAAAAACGGGGTGAGCTTGTCTGCATACTTTTCAATGTCTTCGCCATACAAAACAACTACCTTCTCTTCCTGTATTTTGATATTGTGATGATTTAGTTACCAGATTCCACAAAAATGTGTGCATATAAACTTATAGAGACATACAAATATAGAGTATTGAAATATTCAAATAGTCAACATGAATACGACATGTTGCCTTAAACTCATTAGATTCATGACAAGTCTGTAGAGAAGTTATTTGTAGAGCATTGTAGCAGCATTATATATCAAGAATATGTAATGGTATATGCCAAATAGCTACAACAACATGAATATTTGATCACATTAGTAATGATTGTGCCCCAATTGGGAATCATGAATCAGTTATTTGTTTAATTAGTATTTCTTTGGATCTGGAACTGACATCAAAACGTGATCACTTGTAAAAATATGTATGCACGCCAACCACGTATACTCAACTGCTACTATTCTAGTTTCCTCTACAAAAAAAGTTTATGTTTTTACAACCGAGCCAATATTTGTACAATGATACTACAAAACAAAATAAGTCCCAGAAGAGATAATTATTGTTCAATATATTATGTGGCTACAACACAGCCAAACAAGTGAGCATACAAACATGGAGCAGCTATAATGATATTTCTTTAGATCTACATTTTCGCTTGATATACTAATTGGTGCAAAATGCCTAACTATATTGTTTATACCAATATACGGAGAGATGCAGAAAAACACACATGTAAAAAGTGCTAAGCATGTATAAAATTCAAATGCTATGATGACATATACAGTAATTATCTTCAAAAAGGCTTCCTAAAATCCAAACTGGTAGCTCCCAGAATGTATAAAATTCAGCAGAATTGGTTAGTCCTGTTAGTAGCAAAAAAAAAATTATATGTAGATGAAAGAAAATTTCAAACAGGGCAAGTGCAAAAAGTTTGGGAGCTACCAGTTAATCCAAAACAGAAACGCAAAAGTTTGGTACCAAATTTTTTATCCAAAGAGGCTGGGCAAGAAAATATCAAGCAGGAGTGAATGGTAAATGCGTAAAATTTGACTTCAGAGAGCTCTTCTAATAGTACTTCTTAACACAGTTTGCTCTAGGAGAAATAATTAACTGTATGATAACTTAAGCTGATAAGTTTCTTTCTTTTATTTATATTAAAAAATAATGGTGATTACATGTATGATAACTTAAGCTGATAAGTTTCTTTCTTTTGTTTATATTAAAAAATAATGGTGATTGCAATTATATTTTAGACAGTAGAAGAAGAAATAGCATGGTAGAGAGAAAATTACATTTTCGCTTGGACAACAGCAATCTCGAATAGAGTCTTTCCATCTTTAATTTTCCTTGGTCGAGGTTTCTCAATCAGTTGTACTTTTCAGGTCCACTCTTTTGTTTGTGGAGTGGTCTTGTTAATGGTTAGTCTACTCGATATGTTTTGTACACTCTGTAGTGGAAAAGAAGAAGAAGAACAAAAATAATAAATCATCATTTACTGAAAGATAAACTATAGACACCGACGGATAATTAAATAGAGGAACTGTTAGGACGCTATTTGTTCATAAACTACACGTCATGACAATATTTGTTCATAAACTACACGTCATGACAATTAGAACACGAATCTGGCACTATGGTAGTCCTACTGCACCAAACACCCACATTGTGTAAACATTTATGTTTTTTAAAAAGATAAGATTACTGCTTGTCTAAAAACATTTATGGGATCTTCCTAGACTGATAAAATTACATATAGGAATCATTTTCTACCAGGATGTGCATATGTTTCTTAGCTCTAGTCCCCTACAGAGAAGTGTCACTTTTGCGGATATTACTTATTAGTATTAGCAACATGTACCATATCCGCACCTAAGTGTCTCTGTATGACCATGTTAGCCAATATTGCAGCCCATTGTTGTTTTGTCTTGGGTCAAAACAATCATGTACAAAGAAGATATCATCTCTGGTCTGCATCACTTCAATGAATGCATTCTGATTGCTACGAACCAGATTGCGTACCAGCAGAATTTTGTATCGGCTTCTTCATAGTTTTTTTTTAGCTAGGTACTATGTGCTCTAGTTGCAATATCCTCATAAAATAGCCTTTTCAAAAATTTCATTGTACACAATATTTTCTGTGCAGTGATCATCATAGCTACCTGGTATAGTGGGTCGGATTAGCACTTTCACACAGTTCGAACTCTTTGCTCTAGACAAAGCAACATAAAGTTGAACGTGTGAAAAAATAGGTTCTCGCAAATAAATTCCAACAAAATCCAATGTCTGACCTTGTGCTTTATTTATTGTCATGGCGAAACACAATCTTACAGAAAATTGTGTCCTTTTAAATGGGACAGACATTTTTTCGTCTTGGGATGATAGTAAGGGTATTCTTGGGATAAACACATGTGTATTTTTCAAGTCACCCACTGAAATATTGACGCTAATGACATGCGATTTAAATTCGTAGCAAGTCAAACGTGTAGCGTTACATAAACCCTCACACGGATTTAAATTTTGTAATAATATAATTGGACAGTTCTTTTTCAATGTTAATTTGTATGGCGGCAGACCAGGTGGATTTAAACTATGCAGCAAATCCTCATACTGTGATTGATCAGTAGGTTCAATGGTTTCATCAATGCCGACAAAAGTTGTTGCTTCCTCTGGAAAGCGAGCAACAAGCATGTCATTAATCTCATCAACGAAATCATTCTTAGTTGTTAGGATAACACGAGAGCTTGTGCAGGACGAGGAAGAAAAAAATGTATGCAAATCTGGATAAGTTATCGTGAACAGTTATCCAAAGATTCCTTTTCAGATGTATAAGGAACGATGAAGGATGCTGGATTTCAATCTTATTTGTTGAGGTCACTTTTTCTTTTCCATTTCCTACTCTCAACAAATAATTACAAAATGAAGGATCATCTTTTGCTCCCATATTTTCAAATAACCGCAACCTTTCAAGTTCTTCCTAGATATGAGAATATAGTAAACTTTCATTAATGAAATCTTCTTTTTCCCCGTTTCGAACTACTGGATGTGTTTGTCTGAAGTCACCTCCAAAAAATACAACCTTTCCACCAAATAGTATCGTTTTAAGTCCTTTAAAAGTAAATCAAGCAGTTCGATTATTCTTTTTTTCGCCATAGGTACTTCTTCACATATGATTAATTTTGCATCCTGAATCAAACATGCTAGTGAGCTTTGCTTGCTAATGTTGCATGTGACATTCTTGTCAATATTTATTGGAATTTTAAAACGTGAATGTGTAGTTCGTCCACCGGTAAGTATAGAAGCAGCTACACCGGAAGTGGCAGTTGCCAATGCTATATATCCTTTAGATCTTATAGTTGCCAGCAACGCACGGTACAAGAAGGTTTTTCCAGTTCCTCCCGGACCATCAATAAAGAATTCTCCCGCTTTGTTTGAAAAAATTATCTCTGTAATTACATTGTACGCTTTGAGTTGATTTTCATTCAACTTTTTGTGTAGTAGTATATCCTCTTCAGTGAGGATGATGGTCCTTTCATAGTACACTTCTTTTGCGTCTGTTGCAAATATAGAAGACCTTATTATTTCTGGAATGAGATGATATTCATTTATGTCGCCACCCATAGAGTGCAATATATTGTTAATATGGTTTATAACCATGTATCGTATGTCTCTTTTGTGAATATTAGGTAACAAGCTGTAATCCTCGGACACGTGCTCTTCAAATTGCTCCCAAAGTTGTCTCAGGTTAGTCGGATTGCATAGTCGGATTGCAGTAGATCAATAATATAGCAAACAAATGTCTCAAACTGTATGGCATTTGGTAACTTGCTGCTTCAGACATGCATTTTGTCAAACTATTATCACTCTGTAGCAATCCGCGTTTTTCCACAAATTATCTAAAACTGCTGCAGCGTTCTCTGTTAATAGTTAGTAAATCCCTATATGATTTTGGTCCTCTAATATTCATTAGTAACATCCTAAGGTAGTATCGTTCTCCTTCGGTTGGATAACATGTTACTACACGGTCAATAGCACGTTGTTTTCTCCGGTGCGTCCACATTTTGTCCGTTGCAGACCAAACGAAATGTTCGGGGAATTCTCGGTATAATAGATTGAGTTCTCCAGCGTCTGTGTTTGTTCTATTCATTTCAAAAAATTGTGTTAACATCGTCTGCTTAATCTCGGATTATATACAAGCGTATTTATGTTTGCGCTGCTTTTAAATGAAACAAATTGTTGTCCTTTAAGGTGAAGCTAAAGAGGGCATACACTCGGGTACATTTCACTGATGGAGAAACTGTACAACCGCCACATAGCTTTCGGAGCCGAGACCCATCTAGCAGACAGATATTCTTTTATCTCGTCGATTACTTCTGCGTTTGCGTCCTTATTCTGTACAGAAAATGCAATCTTATCGTGTCCTTTACATATATACTTATAAAGATACTTAACGACCTTAATATCAGAACATATCTCAACATTCACATGGCAATCAAATTTTCCCAGCAAAAAAGGATTATATGGAACAACCCATGAGTTATCCAAGGATCGTTCTCTTATTTTTACTACCACTCCTGTAGTGCGTCTTCTATAAATTGGGTAAGATTCCGTTCCTTTTGATGTCTGATCCGCGAAGCTTTTTGGGTATTTGAATTTATAGTAACCTTTTTTCTTCATACAAGAATTTGTTGGGTTTAGATTACCGCATGGACCATGCATCATGTGTTTAAGAGCAAGTGAATATAAATCTGGCTCTGCTTTTTCATCAGGTATTTGTGCACTAATAATATTATCGTAGGCCTCTGGAGTAAGTAACTTGTATTCATTAGTTAATATTATAAGAAAATGAGCGTGAGGTAAACCTCGCTTTTGGAACTCTACAGTATACATAAAAGCTGCAAATTTCCCAAAGATATTTCGATTTAGTATATCCTTTTTGAATTCTTCTATTTTCGCTCTAAATACTCGACTGATCAAATCAGGCCTATTATGTGCCTCATCAGTTGAGATTAAATGTTCCTTTATTTCTGTCCAAGAGGGATTACATGTCATTGTTATAAATAAATCAGGTTTACCGAAATGCTACATGAGCGCAATAGCATCCATGTACCGTTGACGCATATCCCGGGGCCCTTCAATAAAAGAACTTGGAAGGAAAGTTTGTTTCCCGAAATTAGAAGCATCGCGTTCCCCTAATCGCAACATGTCAAGAAGTCCTTTTAGCATAGCCATTCTGAACAAATCTTGATTGAATACTACAAAATCCAACCTTTGTGTTTCAAGTTTAATGTACTCATCAACTGAATACTGCTGAAATATTCTTCCTGTGTGCAATATTTCATCTTCATCATCGTTTCTCATTTGTAGTTTGTAACAGTAATACTCACGGACAGAAACTATATCCCTTTGTCGCTGTCCTTTTTTTAGAATTTCAGCTTCCATTTCAAGATATCCGTCAAGGGAGGTAACATTTCGTATGCTCGGTACTTTTTCGGGCTGCACAATTCTTGCGTATGCAGGACAATTTGCTGGGAGCTTTTTAATACCACAATGCCATCCACTTTGTCCTAGCGGAAACAATAACGGATATTGTAATGCGTCGTAACAGCCATATTAGTAATTCACTATTTGTGTTCGATCAGTGTGAGGGTAAATTTGAATATCTGGTGCATTAAAGGCTGCGTCGGCATTTTCCTCGATCCATATTGCTGCAATTTCAGATGAAGTTGGCATATTATATACTCTCTGGTCCAAGTCTATGTCACATTTGAGAGCTATATGGAAATCTCGTAGGTTCGGTATATGTACCAATGATCGTAAAAACACAGAGTATGCGTTTATTGATAATATATCAATTCCTTCACTACCGATTCATGTACTCTCTCGGAGCATGCCATCCTATGTGTCGGCTCATTGCTATTATCATAGAAATATAATTGTATGTTTCATGGTTTGTCATCTGTAGGGTGCAAATTTTTTTTATCCAATGTACATCTTCCCTTGAACTCTGAAGGTGTAAATACCGGAGTTTCTTTTTGCTAAATCTTTGTCATACTTTAACACCAAGTGACGTGAATGCAAAAAGATTTTTGGTGAAAGAGATAATCTTTATTAATCACCACAAACGAACTTAATTATACACATAGTTCCTCCATCTATTTTACTTCTTTCTATGTTTCTATACTATTTCAACATAGTAACCTATCTATTCATCTAGCATTTATAAATTCTTTATCCATAATCTCTGTCTTTTTGATGTTGATTTCCTCTCCATGAATGCAAAAAGATTATTATATGTTCTAATGTATGTTCGAAAGTGCTTAGACGCCACAGTATTTCCAACGTATAAATTACTCAATTTCACAGGCATTTGATGAGAAGTTAACTTTATTGTCCCAGTACGACAGCAGAATGCAGGAGGTTCATATTCAAATCTTTTCGCTGAGCAAAATTTGCAGATTGGAACTTTTTGAAGCGAAACATACTTTGAACCCAACCGACTGATGTTTGGAGTAAACTTTGTGGTTGTTGTACTATCTGTATATTCGAAATGGATCATTAAAACTAAGGCAAAGCAAAAGCAGTCATGACTGTTAAAAAAACTGAACAGACCTGGGTGTATCTATCTTGGAGACTTTGTTATGTAGTTCATTGGATACAGTTGACGTTGAACCTAAAATAAAGGTGGGTGGTCTTTAGATGGAACTAAATAGTGGTAGCTATTTTAAAAGCGCGCAAAGAAGGCACACTCACCTTTTTCATAGACAGAAAATGGACGTGTTTCATCTCTTTCTTTACCAGCCATTGTTCCAATCAAGCGAACAGTAGTTATATTCTCGGAAAGCGTATGTCTCATTGATTCTTGGTATTTTAGTCGACGTTGTAGCAATAACTTTTGCTTTTTCTCTACTGTCATCTCTTTGTATTTTTCACGTCGACTGACATTTCTATCTGTCTCTGAGAGGGGACGTTTATTTTTTTTGTGTAAGATCCATCACAATCGTAGTTTTTACTCCTAAATGAAGTTGTGCAAACTATCACCCAACCCTTTAGCAAGATATCAATTTCTATTAGCAAATATGTAGAAGCACAAAAAGGTACTGCACTTTGATATACGTAGCACCTGCTGTGAGCACCAACAACAGCTATTGTCAAATAATATTACAGATAAACACAGTACCACAACTTGTAGAAACAAAAATGGTGCACAACATTAACGGCTAGCAGTACAACGGGCAGGAGAAACATAGAATGTGTTAATAAGAGCCAGCGTTTACAAATATATAAAGATAAGATAGTTGGTTACCTGTAAGCACGTCGAGCAACTTTTTTTGTTGTACCAAATGTAACAGAAGCGTCAGCAGCTCTACAAAGGCAGAAATAAGTTGCAGTCATGGTCAGCATCAAGTTCAACACATTGTGCATTGAAAATACTCGTGAAAATATTCTCTACAGAAAGTGTAATGTGACTGTCTAAAGAAGAATGGTAAAGACAAGAAAGAAGATCATTGTAGTAAGCTCTATTAGCAGACCAAATATGTGGATCTGCAGTAAAAGATAGTAATAAAGAAACTAAAACTTGTGATTTATTCTACTATTCCATGTGCTTCAAATGAATATTACTTGATGTTATTTAATTCCAAATATCGTCCCCTTCAACTTAAGAAGACAATGTCCACCGATTAACTATGGCACTGAAGTTGTTTCCATACAATATCCTACTGTCAATATGATTTTTCATTTTAAATAAATAATTAGATGGTTATAATGACTGATAGACCTATTCCTACTTTTATTAATATTTCTAATGATAAGAAGAAACGCCACGAGCTAAGCCAAAATGGATTAGTACACAGCCAAAACCTAATTAGGTAACAACAACCAATCATAACGAAAAAGATAAATATCACAAGTCATGCTCATTGATCTGGCACAAAATGGTGAATCATTGTTGAAACCTGTAGAAGCTAAACTATTAGCTCGACTTGAGCTCTTGCAACACCAACTAAGTTTCCCCTGATTGTTTTCTCCATTGATTCCTTTTGGTAAAACATAATGGAAGTCCGTTCGAAAACGATTATTTCAATTCCTTAATCTACTATGAACCGAAGCTAAAAAAAGAAAAAGAAAATTTGATATAGCATTGCGAGTGTTCAGTGAGTGACAACTCGAATTTACAAAGAAATTCCCACGAGACTACAGCAGGTTCAAACATAACTGTAACAATAAAATAGTTCACAATTTGATCAAGGGAAGACTGTTTTCTCAGACCAAAGAATCGAAAAACAGGTAGAGGAAGGGAAGACTAAAGTCTTTCCCATTAACAAGTTCCACAACCAAGTGACTTCAACACACAACAACTTGAGCAACTCTGATTTTCTTATTGTTATTAAATCCACCGAGGGAAAAACAGAGCAGCTTGCTTGTATAGTCCTTTATATATTTCTTTTTCTGTCAAAAAAATGATAGTAAGTACTTCTAATAAAGATACTTTTTCAATTAACTCAGGCACACAAACAGAGTATGTTCCCTAAAATCTTATTAACTACTACTCCATAAACACTTTATCTCTACTTTAATGTATTAGTTTCGGTCTGCCATGCGAGTTCTTCTAATTATATAAATAGAGTTATAATGTTTGTTTCTTCGTAATCCATTAACTTTACTCATCAAACAGTCGCCTTCAGTTAGCACGGTAGTTTTTATCCCTTTAACTTCTGTAACTGGTAGTTAGTAAACATCATACAGCTGAAAAATTCAACAAGTTGTCTAATCTAATCTCAAATTTATAGATCAAACAAAGTAATCACCTGCGAGCAAACGAGCACAAAGACGAAAAGGTGAACAGTGAAATATGGAGAGAAAACCCAAGCAGAACAGAATATAATCCAGAATTTATTCAGCTATCATAGCTAAACAGTTCTATAAAGTGTCAAGTATAACCCTAAAAGTAAAGATCAGATTTGCCAAAAAGAAGGGCATCGAAGTAATCTAACCTGAAGAGATAATGTTTAACCCAAAATATATCGCTGATCCCATGAAAACCTGAAGATATAATGTTTAACCCCCAAAATTTATTGTTGATCCCCATGAAAAACAAATGTTGGCAAACTAAGAAAACAACTCAAAGCACCAAAAACAAGAGGAGCCTGGTGTTACACGTTTGAGAAGAGAAAGAGCCGCGTATCCTAGAGAAGAGAGCGTGAACGGAATAGTGTAAAATAAAATATGCTGAGAAGGAAAATTTTAGGCGTACAATCTGTCTAAACTATGCCGAAAAGACTAAAATACTACTAGACGATCAAGAGCACCTTATTCTCGCTTCTAAATAGGTAGTAAGCACGATACCCTTAGCGAAATATTGTTTGTCTTTTTTGTCCTTTAAAAAAAGTTTTTATATTGTACAAAATAGTGTCACGACTCAAACTCAATCCGTCGTGATGGCGCCTATCGTGGAACTAGGCCAGCCTCAACTCAACAAAACCAACACAACAACAGTAAGTTTGAAAACATTTAACAGAAGATTTTAACACTTTAAGAAACTGTTTGAACATAAGAAATTCCAAGATAAGATACAATCCAGCCCAAAACCAGGGTGTCACTGAGT